TGCATTCGTTCACTCATGAAACTCAAGTCAAGCGAAGAACGAAGGAGGGGGGTGAGGTGCAGACGACTCTCCGGGATGTGTGGGCGACGTAGTTTTTGGTGTTTGAGGACAACACACTTGACAGCCCACATTCATTGTTTGGGATTTTTTTGCCTTTCTCGTGGAGTTACATTTTGGCATTTTTTGTTTTGTGTTTTTGCCTCGTGTTGACCTTTGGGAAAGAGCGGTGTTCTCTGTTCGGTGTGCTTGCCCGATTTTTTGTATGTTGTGGTCTGCGCTACCGACCGTTTCCTAGTGTCCCTCAGATCCCTCTAAGGGGTCGACTGGGTTTGTTTGGTCCCTATGTGGCAGGTAACTTGCGTGTATCGTATCAGAGCTAGTTCCAACAAACTGATGTGTCTCAGGTGTGTTCGCGATATCACGGGCATGATGTTCACCGTGAGGACAACGCCTTGACAATAAGAAAAGCCTACAACATCAGCGCATACTGCCGTACACATTACAATAGGTCGTGCTGTACTCCTTCCCGCGTTTCGGTGGTGGAGGGAAATTCAAAAATGTGTACAGTATTGGAGTACAGCAGCAGTAGTGTTGCGGCCTTCAATTGACGTGTTGTCGCAGTTTTTAAGCAGCACAATTTCGTGGTCGCATTCCTGCTTCAAATGCGCGTATTTTGACACATGTTACACCTCCATTGACCCCGGGGACGGTGAGTTAGTTGCCCCGGAATCCTAAAGGCACTTCCCCGCGTTAAAGACACTCGAAAAAAAAACGCGGTGTGTCTTTAAAGCGGGGTCGACTGTGTATGCATAGGAGTTATTTTTTGGGAGGGCAAGAATTTGAATTTGAGTCAGCACCCTATTCAATAATGTCCTTGATTGGCCTACCGTACGAGGTGCCGCGCAGATTGAAGGTTCATGTGTGGCAGGCTTAGTCGTACAGGTGTGTTTTCTTGCTCTGTGGCTTCGGGCACGATGTAGGGTAGCTGACACTAAATAGGTGCGTCTCTGAACCAGAGTAGACCTGAGGGCGAGATACGCGGTGAATTTGTTTGGGTCCTCTTGGACGCGGGTGTACACCTCGATCTCACCTTGTCGTTTCTGTACGCTCGCACGCACTCATGAAGGGAATCTATGATGAGGTAACAGAGGCGAAGCCACAAGACACACATATAAGAGTACTTCTAAACCCAAGTTGTTAAACCCCGAAGGGTGAGCGGGTGTACATGCATATGCATACGGCCGTTGTGTGTTTCGAATGTGATACTGCAGAAAAGAAACACGCGGTTAATCGGCGTTGACGATACGACGATAGACCTATCCTCTGTCCTCCAATCGCTAACACAGCAGTCTGCAATGAAGACGTACGACTAGCCGTCTTGTGCCCGAAAGAACGTCAGGGGACATATTTGACTGATGTGGAGATACACGGAGAGCGGAGCACAGCACAGCAGGTGTGCTCAGCAGCGCGGGAGGGCGGAGGTGATGCATATGCGATGAAAAAACGCCAAACACATCAATCAGTACTTACAAATAGCACGCACGGTGTACCGGGCATGTGATGCGTTCTGTTCGCATGCAGAGCGGCAATGAACAGGTACGAGCTCACCTTGATGGGCATTCCTCTATTCCCCTTCCTGCTCGATGGGGGTTGTCCGCCATCACGGTCGCCCACCCTCGTCCGTTCGTCTCTGTGGACCACTTCCTGGGCGGGCGGGCCCTCACGCTCCACAGCAGTCCTCAACGACGAGGTAGCCCTGGCTGGTGTAGCTTGCGCATCGTTCGTAGGCATCGTCTTGCTGCGGGCTTCACGATCGTGACGGTCTGGCGTGAAGGGGACGACGATTAGAGAGTGCGCTTTGCGCACGAGATGAGCCACAAGCAACGGCTAGTTTTCAAAATGGAGGGGGGCCCGAAGGAGGAATTGAACTCAATAAATAATCTGGAGGGATGAGGGGGGGGGGGGGGGGTCGACGGCACTGTCCGTACGTACGTATTGTAAACAGTCCGCACTCCGCACACACGTCATCGCAAACACCGCGGTGATGATCGCTAGATGGAACGACGAAGTAGCAGTAAGCGGGCGCGCGAAGGCGGACATGGAGGTTATTGCCCGTACTGCTGGCAGAAGTTCCCGCGCCATCGTGATCGTGCACACCATTGGCATCATCTTGTTAAACCGCAAGCCAAGGATGGACGGTACTCTGTTGTTCCGATGCGCGGGACGCAAGGGACGACACGAAAACAGACCTGACGGTCTTCACGGCTTGGACCGCCCGTGCACGCTTCGGTGTGAGACCGGAGATCGGTGGTGCTCTCGCTACTGGTATTGCCAATGAGGAGGGCGGTGGGGATATTGCATCGTCGTCAGACCGCGGCGGCGAAGACGATGACATGATGATTGACGACGGCGGTGATTTTGGCGGAGATGATGCGGATGGTAACAGCGGCGGGATTGATGTAGAAGTCGACGCTGGTGGAAGTGTTGGTGAAAGCCGCATTGGCGCAGGATCTGGCCTGGTGGGGGGCGACGACGAGGGTTTCGGCTAGGGAGGACCTGCCCACCATCACGAGGATGACATGTCCTCCGCCGGCGACGGCTCACCATCCCTGGAGGGTGTCGAGGTTGAGGGAAACGACCCTGGTTACGGGAGCTTTGGGTCTTGGGCCGGCGCACGAGAGGATGTCGGGGCGGGGGTAGATACCGAGGATGACGAAGACAGGGGCTCATTGGGCGACGAGCGCAGCGACGACGACGATGATGACGGAGCGGGACGTGATGGAAAGGACCATGCCGGCGCAGGACACAGCATGGATACCGCCGCCCCCCATAAACAGGCGAGTATTTCGGAGCGTTCTTCTGGTGGCGGATCGTCCTCGGGAGCTGAACACGGCCAGCCACCGCCTCGGGATGACCCGAGATGGATGTCCAACATTGCCGGCACCGTCGGTAAACGCCTTAACGCCACTGTGATGGAAGGTGGGCCTACCAAAACCAAGCTACGCCAGTTAGGCACACGGACTCAAGAGTGGCGCCCGTTCAAATCTCTGACAGAAATTTTGCTCTTCGTGTTCGGCGTCAAGCATCAACTATCGGGGACGGGAAGGACGGATTTGTTCGA